TATAGATCAGAAAACAGTGTTATGTAGACTCTTTAAACAGACAAAATGTGTTGCCTTTTATTGTCTAATTTTTGTGCATGGAGCCATTGATTTTTTGTTTAACTGGTTTTCCACTACTGATTGCTGATTTGTTAAACATCTCTCTCATTTTAGATTTTGTGTTTTGAGCTCTTACAGTAGAAAATGGCATAAACCTTTGCCACTCACTCATATAGTTCCAAAGGTTGTGATGGTCCATCTCCATAAACTCTGAAGGCTGTTTGACAAAGCTCAAATCTGTCAAGCTCAAAGTCTGCGTTTTCTGTTTGGGTGGTCTAAACACTCTATGTTCAGGCTTCATTAGATCATTTTCCTGATTCATATTCAATTCCATTTGCTGGAGGGAAACTTATGATTGAAGGGTCCAAATTACACCATTTTCTGATTTGTTTTGATGTTGGTTGCTCATCAAAAACATACCTGGAGTTGTGTTTTCACAGGCCCAGGCATATTTAGACTCTTCTCTCAAACAGAAAACACTGGTGTGAACCTTGTGATGCGACGTGGTGATACCAGGAAGTGCCCAGAAGTCATTGGAAAAATGCTGGTACCAGGTTATAGCATGGACGCTCATTTACACCTGTCGTCCCTGAGCAGCTTGGTTGAAATACTAAAATACAGATTCAGTGTATATAGATAATATATAATATATAGGTATAGAATAGTAAAGGGTTACTCAAAACACAACTCCAGGTCTGTTTTTGAAGAGGTAAAAGTAATTTATCATACTATAGGAGCTTTAAAAACTATTTGCATCGTTGGCATTACTCTTCTATCAGACATGGGTGAGTAGAATTCCCAGCGTTCAGTTTGGATAAGCATTATTTGTGTACAGTGTCATCTAATTAGCCAAAAATGGCTGACTCAGCAGAGAATGGCCAGTGGCACCCTGATACAGCGAGGAGCCGAGCCTGGAGTGGGACAGAGCTACAGGAGGATCACCTCTGAGCCTCAGACTTCACACTACAATCCTGGATTCTGGCACTTTCTCCAGCAGAAAAAAAAGAATCATGGGCAAAAAGTTTTTGTTTTGACAAGCGATAGTTCCAAAAAGCAGTGCTACAGTGACTATGGGGCCGTCCACACGACAACGTTTTTTGGTCAAAACGAAGAAGTTTGTATGGCCTTTCGTCCACACGAAGCTGGCGTTTTGGGTGGGCGAAAACTGAATTTTTTGAAAACGGGTTCCAGAGTGAAGAAAACTGAGAACGCCGGCGTCACACTGTCGTGTGGACGAGCAAACCGCAGCTTTTGGAAAACAATGACAAATATTTACTGATCCGGCACGTGTGTGGACGCAAATTTTTTTCAACCCGCAAAGAAAAAAAATCCAAGAGCGTTGTCGTGTGGACGTAGCCTACATCTTGTATAAATTGTGTCACAATTACTATAACATCTAAAATCACAAGGACTTGTAAAATGTAATGTAAAATTCATTCTGCTTCCTAAGCTCCATTGTTATGCTGCCTCATCCTCGTTTCCCCGCCCCTGCAGCGACGCCCCGCCAGTCTCCACAGGAAGTACAGCAGCGTTATCTGGGCAGCTGAGCAAACACGATCCGATACCATCACGTGGGCGGAGCAGTACCTGGGTACGTCCACAGGTAGCGGTGGGCTGATTGACGCCGGACTCTCTCCTGGAGCACACACTGAGACCGTTTATACACTGAGACTGGGATCAGACCAGGACTGAAAACAGTTTAGTCCTGGTTCAGTTCGGCATCACAGTTTATCCGTTTTTTTCATTTTTCATTTAAACACAAAATCTAAAACTGAAAAAAACGAAATCATTATCTGTTTTTTTCATTTTGTCCTTGGAGATAAATAATGAAGTAAATAGGTGTTTTTCTGCTTTCTTATTTTTGGTTTTATACTGAAAAATGAATGAACAAATGACACACGGATTGTTTAGGACGACCAGATTTTCAAAATAAAAAACTGGGACATTCCTGGTTTGTGGTGGTTGGTAATAATAAAATTGCGAAACAAGTGCGTAATTAAGGAAAATTGTTACGCACTCGGCACTAATGTGAGTTTTTTTGTGACTTTTTTTTGCGTTTTTGTCCTTTTTAAGCAGCTTTTCTGACTTTTACCTAAACAAATTACAATTTTAGACTCTCTTTACTGTTGGCAGGGATCAAATTGGTCAAAAATAGGGACACTTAGGACATTTCTTGTAAAAAAAACTGGGACAAATCTGTGTTTTTTGGATAAATCTGCTGGGACAGGGGACACTGGGCTCAAAACTGGGACTGTCCCGGGTAAACAGGGACGTCTGGTCACACTAATATTATTGTTATTGCATCAAATTACCTCCGCTGTGACAACTCGGCGTAAACAACATCAAGATTCCAGCTGATCTTATCTGAGTTCTGGAATGATCGGGAAAGTGGTCAGACGTCCGTATAACCCAACACTTCACGAGCAAAGAGTACGCTACATAAACACTGTTGGGCAAGTGACGTTAAAACTGTAATGTGTTATTTATTTATGACTTGTTACTGTTATTTTAAAGTGATTTATTAAATTACAATATTACTGTGTTTGAAATATAAAACGTTACACGACTATTACAGAATTTTTAAGTTATTCACAACTAAATAACTGCGAAGATGCTGAACTTTTGAGCCATATATGGACTAAACAAGGACTGAACCAGGACTGAACCAGAGCTGAACCAGGACTAAACCAGGACTGAACCAGGACTGAACCAGAGCTGAACCAGGACTGAACCAGGACTGAACCAGGACTGAACCAGAGCTGAACCAGAGCTGAACCAGGACTGAACCAGGACTAAACCAGGACTGAACCAGGACTGAACCAGAGCTGAACCACGGGCTAAACCAGGACTGAACTAGGACTAAACCAGGACTGAACCAGGGCTAAACCAGGACTAAACCAGGTCTAAACAAGGTCTAAACCAGGTCTAAACCAGAGCTGAACCAGGACTGAACCAGGACTAAACCAGAGTGGAACCAGGACTAAACCAGGTCTAAACCAGGACTAAATTAGGACTAAACCAGAACTAAACCAGGTCTAAACCAGAACTGAACCAGGACTGAACCAAGGACTGAACCAAGGACTGAACCAAGGACTGAACCAAGGACTGAACCAGGACTAAACCAGGTCTAAACCAGGACTGAACCAGGATTAAACCAGGTCTAAACCAGGACTAAACCAGGTCTAAACCAGAACTGAACCAGCTCTAAACCAGAACTGAACCAGGACCAAATCAGGACTAATCTTGGACTAGAACTAGATTCCTAGTTCCGCCCCTGAGAGAACCCCTGAGCGTGATCGGGCGTCAGTTGCGTTTAGCTCTGTGGAGCGTGGAGTTCTGCGTCGGTCCTTTCGCCTGCGGTCACCTGACGGTCTACACGGGCGCACCTCTGGCGTTTCACCACTGCTGATATCGTGGTGATTTTAGCGAATTTATATGAAAAAAACCCCAAAAAACCCACCACTTCAATCCAGATTAAAAAAGCATTGTGACGCGCTTTACTGACATTTGTACCGAATAAAATATTACAATTTTTTTCCCAGTAATGACGTAACATTACTGTAATTTTATAACACGTTACTCCGAACACTGATAACAAATAAAATTGTCTTGATGTACGTGTATGTATTTCAACTGAATTCTGGGGAGTTTCTTCAGTCACTCACTCTTTTGGTTAGTCATAAGTGAGTCAAAAAAAAAAAAAAAAAAAAACTTGAATATTACTGAGGGATGGGACTCTGGGGGAAATAAACCGCATTCTCCTCCTTTCCTGTGTCTCAAGCAGAGATAAACAAATGCACTTTTTGGGCAGGTCAACATAAAACGGCCCTGATTTTTACCGTCTTAAAAAACATGAAAAACAGATCAGGTTTAGTTTAAATGTTTTGCAGAAATCCAAAGTTTTTCCTTATTTAACGTACACATTCTGAGCATCTGAATTATTCTCCACAAGAGCTAAGTTTTGCCATCACGATAATGCCAACAACTAATTTGCCAAGAGGAAACTTCATAAGGGCTGTAACTAACAATTCATTGGGGTTGTAACTATCGATTATCTTGGTAATCGATTAATCTAGCAATTATTCTTTCATTAGTTGTTTATTCATAGGTTTCAGACAAACAGTTTCTGCCTGATATGAAGGACTTTGTGGGGACCCGATGAAAACCTTTCCCCATTCAAAATATAAAATACTTTTATTTGAATTGGCAAAATGAGAAATTCAATTTGTTAACTGGACAAAAGTTTATTTGATCGAATACGTTTCAAAGCTCATTCAACCAAATAATGTTTTGTTCTACCTAGACGACTGAGGGATTTTTCACACTTTTATTTTAATTATTTAATTGCTATGACCACGGAAGGAAGTTCCCGTACTGTTAAACCCATAAAAAGCAATAATATCTGGAAGCCTTCAGTTATATTTAGCCTTTATTTGGTTTTTAATCTCAATGTACAATATAAAGAATTCGACTATTTGGAAAACCGAACTGAAGACTTGTCAACTACTAATATAATCGTTAGTTCCAGCACTATATAAAGCTGAGAAGATCTGAGGAGAGATGTTCCGATGATTCGATCGGCAAAAGAAAAACAACGTGATCACGATGGGCAAAATGGACCAGTCAGAAAGACATTGATCACCCACCTAGGTAACTGATGGGTAGCTAGAAACACATTTATTGGTTTAAACTACCAGCAAAATTCCATTGATGCGGTAACTAGTTCAAGTTTGAATAATAAAATAGTTTGCACTCTGATATCAAAGTGATCGGTATGGGCTGATCAAAAAATTGCCTCAAAAATCCTGATCAGAGAACCTCTATCCAATGTGTTACAGACAAAATCACCAGATCTACACACAAGTTCCTGGTTCACACAAAACTAACCACCATTTTCAAACCACACATCCACCTGAACGCCGCGTGTAACCAGCTAAAAGTCCGCTGTATCGGTAGCCCACCTTGCTTGAGGTCCTCGATGGCCCTGCGGATCCCCCGGTCGAAGGCGCGTGCGTCTGCCGGGCTCTGGAAGGTCAGGCCGAACTTCTTGTCGTTGATCCTCCAGTGGTGAAAGATGGGGTTCACCTTGTTGTAGACCACGTCGGTTTGCAGGACGCACTCCAGCACCACCTGCGCACACACAAAAAAACATCATCGGGTTTAGAGAAGAACGGGGAAATCTGTAATGAACCTTTATTTTGAGTCATTTTGGGTCTTAGAGTAGGTATTTTGCATGTTGTACCAAAAATGTACGAAAAACAAGCTGAGATGGTCCAGGATGGATTTTTTGAGCGTGAATCGATTCGATATTTGTCTTGCTGTTGTGGCCGATAACCGATATTTGCCCATGCTGATCACGGCTGGGTATCATCAAGAAGTTGCCGATACAATACATATCTCGATACAGTGAGCTTTCGATTCCATACGATATTTCAAATCGATTCGATACGGTTCAATAAAAACTAACGGCTAAATCATGGCTGTGATACTAAAAGTCTTTGTTAAACCACTTCCTGTGCAAAGTGAACCTGAAACACAAACATTTTAATCATCAAAACAGCGAATGTCTCAAAATATGTTGCATAAACCAGTTTCCTTCCTCTTAATAAGCAACAAATCTGTAGAGCTGTAACAAAATATACCAAAAAATACTCCCAGCGATGTAACAATACAGCAGTCCAAGATCGTATCATCAAATTAAACGATATTTTGATATTTTTACACAACTCTAATGTGAATATTAAGCTTTTAAAATTCATAGCAAGGACCTAATCTATGTTAAAAGGGCCACTTAACACCAAAATAACCTTTTTTTCTACTGAATAGTGGTGTAAATGTGTCTCAAATAGAAATATATACCAATATATACCAATCCCTGGCCATATTTTGCCATTTTTGTTCGTGTTTGACTTTTGGGTCAAAAACCGTGTCTGTAGCAATCTATATATTTCAGATTTTTTCAGATTTTGTAAAGCTTTGGGAGGGTGTTTTAAGTTATAGTGAAGTTTTGCTTTTGTAAAAAACAATTATAAATGTAAAGAAATGTATTTATCTGAATCCGTGTATCATTCGTTCATTTGTTTTTCAAAATAAAACCAAAAATGAGAAAGAATTATTTTCTTCATTATTAGTCCTCCTGGTTCAGTCCGGGTTCAGTCCTCTGGGTTCAGTCCTCCTGGTTCAGTCCTGGTTCAGTCCGGGTTCAGTCCTGGTTCAGTCCTGGTTCAGTCCTGGTTCAGTCCTGGTTCAGTCCTGGTTCAGTCCTACTTTAGTGTCAGTGGCTTAAATTAGTTTCAGTTTTATCGTTAATCATCTAGATTTTTTTTTTCAGCAGTAGTCGCACTTTACAATGAGTTATCATGATTAACTCTTTTTTTTTTTGCAGGCTCAGTAAAAGGCGTATGAAGGTCAGTGACTTCAATTGTGTTGGTTTCACAATCATCCTCGTACAGGGAAGTCACGACTCACGAGAGGACTCTAGGTCACAGGTCTCTGTTACTGCGCACATTTCACCGACAGATGACACAAAGACGGCACAGTACTTCATGTTTGAAGTACAAAGACGCATACAAAAAAAAAGAAAAACACCAGTTATGAATCGTTAAAAATCCGTGTATCATTTGTTCATTTGTTTTAAAAAAAATATATATATATAGTACAATTTTCTTCATTATTTTTCTGCAAAACCAAAATGAAAAAAAATAAGGATTATGATTTGTTTTTGGGTTTTTTTCAGTTTTTCAATTTTGTGTTTAAATGAATAAAAAAAAATAATAATAATAATAAATAACTAAAAATAAAATAAAATAAAACGAATAAAGTTTTTTTCGCGTTTCATCCAATTTTGACCCTTTCAGACTGAACCGGGACTAAACCAGGAGGACTAAAATAGGACTAAACCAGGACTGAACCAGGAGGACTAGGTCTAAACTAAGACTGAACCAGGATGCCTCGACAGTCACCCAACAGTCTACGCGAGTAGACCTCCGGGCCCGTCCTGACACTCAGTCCTGGTTTAGTCCTGTTTCAGTCCTGTTTTAGGCCTAGTTTAGTTCTCCTGGTTCAGTCCTGGGGTCAGTCTGAGTTTAGTCCGAGTTTAGTCCGAGTTTAGTCCGAGTTTAGTCCGAGTTTAGTCCGAGTTTAGTCCGAGTTTAGTCCAAGCTTAGTTCGAGTTTAGTCCGAGTTTAGTCCGAGTTTAGTCCGAGTTTAATCCTCCTGGTTCAGTCCTAGTTTAGTCCTCTTGGATCAGTCCTGGTTCAGTCCATAAGGGTCAAAACTGGATGAAATGGGAAATGGTAGCTATAGTGTTTTTTTGTTTTGTTTTGTTTTTTTCCATTTTGGTTTGGAGACAAATAATGAAAATAGTTGTTTTTTTCATTTTCTTATTTTTGCTTTTATTATGAAAAATGAATGAATGACTGATACACAGATTTAAGGCCTATATTAGGCTATTTTTTGATTTATGTTATAGTGTTGTTTCAAAATCCGAAATACACCTGGAGTTGAGTTTTGTTTCATTCACACATGTCAAACTGAAAATGCACAGGAAATGTTCCGCTGTGTTATATCCCGGAACAACTCCACACATTTTCCCTAGAATTATTCGGATAATTTCAGCTCTGGAATTGCGTATTTCTAAAGAACTAAAGATAAAACGTAGCTGTTAATTTGGAAACCACCACTACGTGAAATCACAAGGCGGAACAGAGCATTTTGAGCTTTTGCAGACGCAGACAGACGGGACCAATCGTGATATCTGTGGAAATCCCCCATTATCGCAAATAACCGTTACACCGTATCTTGTACAAATCTAACAAATAATGACAGAATGGACATGAGAGGCGTCTAAAAATATAAATGCAAGCTTCACCATTACCCTAAACCGCACGGTCTTAGAGAGATATTGCCCAACGAGGACTGATTGTAGAGCCCAGCAATTGAACATGCCAAGTACAAATAGTGAAAAACTCCGCAGTCGGCCTGAGTCACTGCAGAAGCCCGTGTTATCCTGCATTTGGCCTAGACTGTGTAAGTAGTTCATTGATGCTCTAAGTACTTCAAGTTCAAACAATAATGGCTGGTCAAAAATTTGCCTCAAAAATCCTGACGGCACAACAATGAACCAGATCTACACACAAGTTCACGGTTCAGGCGATTGGCGACAGTCGCGCTTAGTCCCGTGCCGGTCCTTTCGCCTCGACAGTCACCCGACGGTCTACGTGGATGGACCTCCGGGCCTGTCCCGACACTCAGTCCTGGTTCAGTTCTGGTTCAGTTCTCTTTTAGTCCAGTTTTAGGCCTAGATTAGTTCTAGTTTAGTTCTAGTTTAGTCCTAGATTAGTCTTCCTGGTTCAGTCCTGGTTCAGTCCTGTTTTAGGCCTAGTTTAGTCCTCCTGGTTCACTCATGGGATCAGTCCTAGTTTAGTCCTAGTTAATCCTGATTCAGTCCCCTTGGTTCAGTCCTGGTTCAGTCCTGGTTCAGTCCTGGTTTAGTCCTGGTTTAGTCCTGGTTTAGTCTGGTTTAGTCTTAGTTTAGTCTTAGTTTAGTCTTAGTTTAGTCTTAGTTTAGTCCTAATTTAGTCCCGGTTTAGTCCTAGTTTAGTCCTCTTGGTTCAGTCCTGGTTCAGTCCTGGTTCAGTCATTCAAAATCGGATGAAAGAGGAAACAGGCGTTATCTTTTTTTTTTTTGTTCTTTTCTTTTTTTTCATTTTGGTTTTGGAGACAAATAATGAAGAAAATAGCATTTTTTTTCTTAATTTTGGTTTCATTTTGAAAAACTAATGAATGAATGATACACAGATTTTTTTAAAAGTCTACATTATGCAATTTTTAAAAATTTACGTTATAGTGTCCGAAACCGTTTCTTCAGAAACAGACCTGGACTTGTTTTTTTTTTTTCATTTGCACATGTTTGACACTGTTCTTCTCTCAAACAGAAAACGCACAAGAAATGCAAGAACTCCACACATTTTCCCTTGAATTATTTGGATAATTTCAGGTCTGGAATTACCGATCTCTACTTGAACTAAAGATTTAAGGTAGATGTTAATTTAGAAACCAGCACTACATGAAATCACAAGGCGGAACCGAGCATTTTGAGCTTTTGCAGACGCAGACAGACGGGACCAATCGTGATATCTGTGGAAATCCCCCATTATCGCAAATAACCGTTACACCGTATCTTGTACAAATCTAACAAATAATGACAGAATGGACATGAGAGGCGTCTAAAAATATAAATGCAAGCTTCACCATTACCCTAAACCGCACGGTCTTAGAGAGATATTGCCCAACGATGACTGATTGTAGAGCCCAGCAATTGAACATGCCAAGTACAAATAGTGAAAAACTCCGCAGTCGGCCTGAGTCACTGCAGAAGCCCGTGTTATCCTGCATTTGGCCTAAGCTGTGTAAATGTGTCACAGCTGATCATTACCACGTAACATAAGCAAAGCGACGAAAGCTCGGGATTTACGGCAAAGTCGGGCTACTGGAACAACATTTATCTCCGCGGGTCAAAAACCGCAACTCGTGTGGATCATTTGTAAAACGCGTTCGAAATGGCGGGGTTCCTGTTACGGATGATGACAAAGTTGTAGCGCAGAAGTTGTTTTGGATTTAGCCCGCTGAGATGTGCGGCGGGAGCGGTGGAGCAGTGTTTCTAAAGGCTGTTATTAATGAGGGCGACTGGGGCTGCCTCTTGGCCTTCCTCTAGGCAGATTAAATGAAATGAGAGATGGCCATTACAGTCTTTGAGGTTTGTCTTCCTCGATACTGCGCACGACTGTGGTTGTGTATGTGTGTGTGTGAGGGAGAAGAGTGCAATTTGATCACCTAAGAATGTTGGGTGAGCAATTTTAGTCATAGTTATAAAGTATGTAGGCTTGGCAAATTATCTAATTCATTTAAATAATTCATGTTTTTTATAGTTTTTGAAGAAATGTAGAAATAATTGATGATCATGACACAAGTTTACCATTGACTTTCTTATTGCAAAGCAGGGTTATGGAGCAATGAAATCTAACTAAGGCATTTAAGGTAGTTTAGAATTAGTTCAATATTAGGATACGATAAGAATGAAAATGTTGAACTTCCCCTGTTTGAAAGACTAGCACTCCCAACTCTGACTT